TCCTGTTTTCACACTTTTATCTTTTTATCACATTTCTGGAATTCTACTCCTTAGTTTAATGGACTGGATAAACGGGGTGTTCTCGTCTTTGGTACTGTCCACTCGGTGGCTACGGACCATCAGAGAACTATTTTGGCACGGACCACTCGGTGGCTCTGGCCGGGGTTCGTTTGGGTACTGTCCACTCGGTGGCTACGGACCGTAAACGAACATATTTGGGTACTGTCCACTCGGTGGCTACGGACCCGTATAGGAGCGCGCGTGTATCAAATATCAAGATTTGGGTGCTGTCCACTCGGTGGCTACGGACCCGAAATCATTGATCAAATTCTACGGCCGTGTTTTCCCTATTGGCATGCCAATCTATCCGATTCCAGAAACAAGGTTTCAAATTCCATTTGTTTTTATCCAATTAAATTCAATCTGTGTGCTTGCTATTGTTATAAATATAATTTTCTAGTTCAAAACAATATCATTATAATCAACTTAATAGATTACTTATGACATAATGATGTTTTAGATGGGGTTACGTACGTAATTAAATACATTTTGCTCATGTCTTCAATATATATGTCGAATATAGATTTCTGAGTGTGTGGAATTGACTTTATTATTAGTCTCACTTCGAAATAACTATCTTTACGTATGCATATAAAAATAGAAGTGCTTTAAACAATTCAATTCACCTTAATATATACGTATGTACTATACTACTATGTATTACTTTTATGTTCTATCTTATTATAATCATATACTTTAGAGTTCTATCTTATTATAATCACAATAAAGTTTAATTTTTATTAATTTATTTTACTGAATATAAATATCCATCATTTTAAAAGTAAAATTTCCGATTTTCTTTTTCTTTAATTAGTATATTAATTATGAATATTTTTCATTAATAAAACCTGCTCTTTTTCCTGTTTAGTAAAAGAGACCGGACTTTCTTCTATGTATACACATTTCGTAATATAAGTCTAGGCCATCTTCAATGAAATGATACTTTATCTCTACATGTACTAATTAATGGTATAAACTTCACAATAAAACTTTGAAGTACAACAATGTGATAAAACATAAAAACTTAATGAGGAGAAGGGAATGAACACAAACCTCCAAAATGGAAGGTGTACGTAATTTTCTCTCGAATCCTTTCATCCTCAATCTACCATTTCCTTCGTTTTGTTTCTTACGGTTACGGATGACCCTCCCTCTCTTCAATTCATTTTCTCAAATCTCATTGTTTCATTTTAATTAAGTACTAATAACTAAGTAACTAACATTATTTTAGTTTTTGCAGCTCAGATCAATTCCATGAATGAGCAGGTGTATATTTATAATTGCATGTATTTTTGTTTGCTCGTGCATGGCCTTAGCCGCGTGTCACCAACAAGCTGATTTTGTCAATTATATGTACTAAGTATTTTATTTATCTATTTTTTTTATTATTATATTGTTTTTGTGATGTCCCTTTTTGCATGGACTGCATTTACCTCACAGAGAAGTGAAGCCACGAAGCTTTTCCTTTGTCTACTGTTTTAGTTCTTAGCCACATGTCTTTTTAATTTATCCATTTATTAACTCATTATTTGTTTATTGTCATTGAGGTTAATTATCCAATTTTCTAGAATTTTCCTTGTACGAAGGACTGACTCAACCGTTCTTGTTTTTGTAAAGTCCAAGTTTGACGTACGTTATAAATTCAATATGGTCTGATCATCTATTTTCTTTGCACCAATCAGATAAAAATATATTTTTTTCTTCTATTTATCAATATTAACATATCTTATATAGTCACTTTAACTTTTACAATGTTAATGTTTTATCACTTGTTCGTTCTGTTATTAGCTAATTCTCTTACCTAGACCTCAACACTTAAATATTAATCTCACATAATTATCGGTCAATTGATTATTTTAGACTTGTATACGGCCCAATCCAATTGTGCGGTTACAACTTACAATTTGTTAGCTTTTCACTAAAATAAATAAATTCCTTAATTGGGTTAGCTACTTAAATGCATAGATACGTACAAACAGATAATTTGAATGAGTTAGCTTTTCAAGATTTTGACTTGGTTTAGTTACATCGTCAAAAAGATAATTTGATTGAGTTGTTTCATTCTTTTTTTAATCGTTTTATGTTTAAATTTACTTTCACGCATTAAAATGTGTAAATTTTGAGGATGTTACAGTATATATCAATTTCATTTTTAAGTTAAAAAAATCTTGTGGTTATAATTTTCATCATTATCTCAACAACTAAGAAAGAATGATATGAAGATGCGGAAAAATATGAAGTATTAACACAATTGCAAATCTAAGGCTTAGAAGTTATAATCTTAGTCAATACCACATGGAGTTTAGAAACCATTAAAAAAATTGAGTTTAGAAAAATAAAATATTGTCCCGTACATTTTAGGAAATGGAACACTACTATTACTTTTTTTTTTAATAAAATAACTTTGAAGAAAAAATTAATAGGAATTTAGATGATTTATCTGTTAGGTGGGCAAAACACAGATAATTCACTTCTCAATAGAATATAATAAAAATAAAAAGTATGAAAATAATTAAATAAAATAAATTCTATGTGTATGGATGACTATTTATTGTTGTGGTTGCAATTGCTTATTTTAATAACCATCCATATTAATACGGAGTAATAGATTCTGAAAAAGTTATCAAATAAGGTGGATTCTATCACACGGTCTTTTGTTTCCATATCAATATGTAATAAGAAATAGAATGTAATAAAAAAATAAAAGGTATAATAGTAATTAAATAATTGTTATATATGATGACATGACATGATTGTGTGGCATGCCGGATGGCTATTTATTGTTGTGGTTGCAATTGGTTATTTTAATAACTATCCATATTAATACGAAGTAAGTAATAGATTTTGAAAAAGATACCAAATAAGGTGGATTCTATCCCACGGTCTTTTGTTACCATATCAATATGCAATAAGAAATACGAAGTAGAATGTAATAAAAAAAAATAAAAGGTATAAAAGTAATTAAATAATTGTTATATACTTATATGTGATGACATGACAGGATTATGTGGCACGCGAGATGACTATTTATTGATGTGGTTGCAATTGCTTATTTTAATAACTATCCATATTAATACGGAGTAAGTAATAGATTCTGAAAAAGTTATCAAATAAGGTGGATTCTATCTCACGGTCTTTTGTTCCCATATTAATATGCAATAAAAAAATAGAACGTAATAAAAAAATGAAAGGAATAAAAGTAATTAAATAATTGCTATATACGATGACATGACAGGATTATGTGGCACGCCGTATGCTTTTAAAAAGTTCCTCTTATATATATATTGATTTACTAATCAAATGACAATTTTTAAAAAATGGAAAATGAATTGAATCAAATCGAATCACGATTTAATGTTTTTAGAGAAAAGCAAAAACAAGTCGAACATAATTGAAACTCTTCTGACTAATGAGGATGTTTTTTACTTGACTATAATTTGATGATCTTGTTTAGTTTGAACTGATCTGGTCAGGTAATGTTTGGTCTCTTTGCATTTCTATAACAATTTAAATCTGGTTTTGTCCAATTTGATCTAGTCTAATTTGATTGGTCTGATATGGTTTGGTCTGAAACAAATTACCGTTCAAGTAAAAACATCCCCAATTTTGGATGACAATGTTTGTAATGAAATTGGATTTTTCTTATTTGACACGTAGTATAGTTTGATGTAACTTGTTTAAATTTGTTCATTGAAATAGTCTGGTCTAAAATATGACTGTTATATGTTGTTATATGTGTATTGGGAAGAGGTGCAAATAGGCCCATGTACTAACCAAAAAAGGTCAAATAAGCCCTTATTTAGGAGGCTCTGTCCGGCCGTTATCATTTGGGGTGGTTCCCGGTGGAATTTTTTGATGAAATTTTGTGAGCATCTTATTCATCAAGTCTAGTTTACTCATACCAAATTTCAGCTAAAACTTCAATCGGGAAGGCATTTAAATGAATTCTTGAAGATAATTACGCTTCTAACTGCACAGTTATTTTCAAGTATTCATTTAAATGCCTTCCCGATTGAAGTTTTAACTGAAATTTGGTATGCGTAAACTAGACTTAATGAATAAGATCAGGGCCGGTCTCGAGAAAATGAGGGCCCTGTGCAACAACAAAAATCAGGTCTTTCCTTTCAATCGTTAATAGAAATGCTATTTCAATTGAAATGGTAAATTGTTGATAAGGATTAGTAGTAATTTATTATAGAATTATTTCAAAATAGAAGTTGCTAGTATTAACTAACAGTAATAAATCCAAGGAAAAAAATATTTACGCATAAAGTTGTATAGTGACACAAAAACAAATTTAACAACCTAAGAACCTATTAATATCACTTTGTTGAACTCAGATTATAATATTAATTCATAAAGAACAATTACTCTCTATTAGTTACGAATTTACCTAGAATAGTGGAGTCCCGCCGTCCTAGATGAGTGGACGAAGGCCGAATCGCCGCAACAACTTTGAAATCAGGATGGCTGGAGTAGAGCCTGGAGATGGAGAGTCGTCGACACGTCGCTCGTCTCGCTCAGTCACTCGTTATGCCCTTTGGTCTATGCGCTTCCTCTTTCGCAGATTGCTATGCTTGTCCCGCACCTTTTCGTTCGCTAATGGGCTGACTAACTTATACTGAGTAGTAGACTAGTAGTAATACTACTACTAATTTATTTTTTTGGGCCTTCCATATTTTTGGGCTCTGTGCGGTCGGACACCCTACACACCCCCTGGGCCGGCCCTGAATAAGATGCTCAAAAAATTTCATCAAAAAATTCCACCGGGAACCACCCCAAACGGAGACGGCCGGACAAAGCCTCCTAAATAAGAGCTTATTTAATCTTTTTTGGTTAGTTTATGGGCTTATTTCCACCTTTTCCCATTGTATTTCATACTCAGTTATTCTATCATCAGCCCTGTGTAATTTCATTTTCTTCCCGCCAAAACACCCGTTAAAAGAATCACATTCCCGCCATCTTGTCTTACATATTTTCAACATCGAAGGAGAAGGAAGAGCAAAACTTGTTGCGAAAGATCGGAGAAATGGAGAAAGGCAGCAGTGGCGGAGAAGCTGTTCCTACAGGGTGCTACAAGTGCGGCCGCCCCGGCCACTGGTCCAGAGACTGCCCTTCCAATCCCAGCAGTAATGACAATAATTCTAACCCCACTTCCACTACACCGAATGCTACATATGCGTCTACTCGCAGATCGACGCCGTACGCGTCCAACTCAAGCGCCGCCGGTGGTTCACTTCCAAAGCCGAAGTCAGCCCCGAGAACGCGTCCCAAATTGACGCCCGATTCCCTTCTTTCGGAAGACGGACTTGGTCACATCCTGCGCCATTTCCCCAGAGCCTTCAAGTACCATGGCCGCGGGCACGAGGTATTACTAAGTTTCTATTGGCTGTCTTCTAACTAGATTCAATTTTGTGTCCATTTTTACAGATGGTTTTTAATGTAAGAGTTTCTAAATTTGGACAGTTTATGAAATTCAAATGTATTTTCCTTTTGATTATAGGATTCAGAAAAAGTTAATAAGGTCATTAGAGAGCATGCTGTGTTGTAATTATTGACTTTGCCTAAGAGAGCATGTATCTTTTATATGGAGTATAAATTTCATTATCATCTGCCATTGGATATGCTACAGGTCTCTGATCTAGGAAACCTACTGGGATTATATGCTGATTGGCACTCACGTTTACTTCCCTACTACTCCTTTGATCAGTTTGTACATAAGGTCGAAAAAATTGCTGCCTCAAAGCGTGTCAAGGTAGCCCATTATTCATTTGTATTCTTTGTACCTACATGATGTTTAAAATTTGTGTTATATAAACCACTTTATTATTAAAGGAGCAATGTATAAATGACATAGGTGTATGGCCTCACAGGATTCAGTGTAAATTTTACACATAATCGAGTACTGTTAACTTTCAACTATAATTTGGCACTACAAATCTTATGCCACTAACCTCAAGTAGTTAGGGTTTAGGTGCTAATATGCTGTGTCTTTTTTGCTTACATTATAGCACTTTGCTCTGTGCTTGAAACATTCTAGCACAAAATCTAGCTACCTACTTATGGATTACGAATCCAGCATTGCCAAATACCTTACCGTTATCTATTTTTTCCCCTGCAGCCCGGTCATATTTAATATGGTCTGCATCCATGAACCGTGAGAAGCAGAAATTTGATTATAGTTTGGTTATGTTATTATTATGTTTTGATTATCTTTTATGAGGATATACTCAAGCGTATATCTTTGGTTGTAGCTCTCACATAGCTTAAATGTTCGTTCCAAAAATAAAAGTTATGAAAAATAAAAGATGATTGTGTCTGCTGCTCATCAAGGATACAAGCATAGCTTTTTATAGCATTATCAACTACCCCATTCAAATTTCATTTCCTTCTCAATCAATCTGGTGTGATGATATTGGTTTGCAATAATGACTTCGCTAGGTTTGTTTTCAAGTCATTACACATCCAGGATTCTATTGCATTATCTTTGTTCAAAAAAACTAAGCTTTGATGAAGGACAAGCTTCATTAAGGTTGAAACATTTTTATAGGATGGTAGCAATTGGTGTGAACGTTTAAAGAATACTTCATTTGCAGTTGATGCTTGTTATCGTTTTGCTTATTTTTCTTAACTACTTTTGTCCAAACATATACACCTTACTTTCCTTTTGCGTGTCCCATTATAATATCCACTCTCCTTTTTAAAACATCACCAACTTTATATATTTCCAATTTTTCAGTTTATTATGGAATATTTGTAGTTTGGACTCATTTGCATGACTTTGTATGGTTTCCCAAAGTAAATCTTAAATGAGAATATATTTTTTTTGGCTAAAATAAGAAATTTGATCACATATAATTTGTTTCTAGGGAGTACTTTCTCTCTTCAATTTAGTCAATGTTGTTCGGGCCATGTGGCATCCCCAACAGGCCTAACATGTAATACTTTTCTACCAATGCATTCTTTCATCAGTTATGTTTGAAAGATTTACGAGAAAAAGTTGCTAATGGAGTTGATCCAGCCAAGCTCCAAGAACCTGAAGCTCAAGAACAAATCTCAAGTAAAGAACAAGGTATACTAGTGATTCTTGTTAGCCAATAATTTAGTGTAGTGCCAACCTGGTTTCACAAAATTGATAGCACCTGAATTATGAATAAAGTAATGTAACCACATATATACTATCTACGTAAAAAAATAGAGCAATATCAACTTATATCAATAGCTTCCGCGTTCATGTGTATTGTTAATATGAAATCCGTCTCAACCAATTCTATCTTAATTTGATTCTTGAGTACTTAAGTGATCAATAAACTAATGAAATAATGCAACATCATGAGATCCTGTCCAGTCACTAGTTTCTTGGCTTGATTAGTAGGAAAAAGGAAATCAGTTGTACGTTTTTTCTAATGGTCAGCTTTGAAATACAAAGATGGCTCTAAATTTGAGGAAGAGTGTCTGTATTTATTGCTAATTGAGTATATTTCATAATAAATCTAATCTCATTCAGATTGGTTTGCATTGATGACTAGTAAAGATACTATTAAGAATGATACATTTCACTAGTGTTTCATCAAATGCTCTAGTCTATCATAAAGCATTGGGAAAATGGAAAATAAGGATCCAACCTTTTAGCGGTCTTCTTACAACAGTCCTACCTTTTCGTTATTCAGGAATAATCCAACATTTGCGCCCCATCTTCATTCACTGGTCCCTGCCCGGTTGATGACCTGTTATTTCAAGTTATTTTCTTATCTTTGTAAAATATTATACCATAGATCCCACCTTATGGTCACATAATGTTTTGCAAAGATAAGAAAATAACTTGGAATAACAAGTCATCAACCGGTCAGGGACCATTGAATGAAGATGAGGTGCAAAGGATTTAGAAAGGTTGTATTATTGTAAGAAAACTGCTAAAAGGTTGGATTATTAGTTTCCATTTTCCCTAAAGCATTTAGAAGTAGTCAATCCATGATTGCTCTTTACAAACATAGTTATGACTTCATGTAGTGAGTCCAGAGTATTTTAACGCCAACTTGCTTGTAATTAAAACAGTGAACTCAACATATTCATTCTAATGCTTCCAAGTTCTTATCCAAAGCTGTTGCTCTTTCAGATAATATGACCATAGATGAGCTTAGTTCTCACCAGAAAGATGCTGACTCCAACCCTGATGGAGATGTCTTTCAGCATGAAATGAATCATGATGTTTGGGAGAGTATAGAAAAGGTAAGAACACTGTTCCTGCTTATTATTACCATATAATAGTGCATTGTTGGCTGAAGTTGATTAACATATGGGCTTGTTATTGGTGATGATATTTCCCCGTCTACTTAATGTGTTAGGCATAATAACAAAAAAATTACTAAAAGTCCCTCAAAAAAACTACTAAAAGAATAAATTTTGTGGCCATTAGGCAGTTGATATATTATTTTCTTAAAATGCACAACTGATTCTTCATATGAGCTATTCACTACTCAGAACTAAAAATAGGGATGAAGGATGATGACATATCCATTATGAGGCCGACACAGACACACCATAGATCCTTACAGTGCAATTTTGTCAGTGTCTTGTCTACATATAAAGTAGATGTTTTCCTTGCATCAAGAACCAACTTCTATAGTGAAATGTTAGGACTGATATCCCCTCCCCTGCTCAAATATTAACAATCATATAAGAGTGGAGAAGGGAGCACTTTTTTGTGAAAATTGGTTGGAACCATTTTCGTGTTATATCTTTTGCTTTTCACTTCTCCGGAAACAAAAGCAAGATGTTTTTGTACAATATTATTTTTTATCTTTAGTTGTTGACACAAAAGTAGAAACTTGAAAAGTGTAAGAAACATGGATCGCTTATTTTTATTATTTTCAAAACATTGTATTTTGACGTAATTTGTATACATTGTTGATTTCTTTTAGATAGTCATATATTTTCTTTGTAATTAATCTAGATATCATATACAGAACAGATCTACCGAGCATGTTTACTACTTTACTTCAAACGTCAAACCAAAATATAATAAACCAGTAACAGAGGATCTGAAAATAGAAGGAAACACAAACAATCAGGAAACACCACTAAATATTTTGATACAAATATTTGTATCAAAATTGCAATAAAGAGATGAAGTGATACAAGTCATTCAACAAATGGAGAACCATTTTGTTTCTGCGGTTAATGACCGGCTATTGTGTGTGTGGGTGATTAACTCATTATTACTTGTAAACATGATGGACAGGAACCAACACATCATCATCAGCCACAGGGTAAGAGTAGTGATGAAAAAGGAAGTGATGATAGAAGTGGTGCTGTGGAAAGTGAGGTAAAAGGCAGATCAAATAATCAAATCTCAGAAGAGCAAAGAGCTCGTATGGAGGCTAACAAGCTTAAGGCATTACAGAGGGCTGCTGCCCGGGCTACTCCTTGTCCTACTCCACTCTAGACTCTTTTGCACTAATCGCTATCTATTATCTCTCTTTTGCATTGTGTCCATAATTTGCTATTCACTATCTATCATCTCTGTTTTGCATTATGTCCATAATTTATATTTTGAGATTGCAAAATATGGTGTGCCCTTACCAAAATAAGGTCATCGAGTATGAGACTGACAATAAAACATCAAACTAAAATAAGGGAAAATCTTACATCAAAACGAATTGTCCCCATCTCAACCAGGGTCCTTGATCATCACATATAATAATAGATAAGGCTATCAATTCAGGTGCTATCAATTTAGTGAAACCAGGTTGGCACTACACTAAATTATTGGCTAACAAGAATCACTAGTATACCTTGTTCTTTACTTGAGATTTGTTCTTGAGCTTCAGGTTCTTGGAGCTTGGCTGGATCAACTCCATTAGCAACTTTTTCTCGGAAATCTTTCAAACATAACTGATGAAAGAATGCATTGGTAGAAAAGTATTACTTGTACATGTTAGGCCTGTTGGGGATGCCACATGGCCCGAACAACATTGACTAAATTGAAGAGAGAAAGTACTCCCTAGAAATAAATTATATGTAATCAAATTTCTTATTTTAGCCAAAAAAATATATTCTCATTTAAGATTTACTTTGGGAAACCATACAAAGTCATGCAAATGAGTCCAAACTTCAAATATTCCATAATAAACTGAAAATGGGAAATATATAAAGTTGGTGATGTTTTAAAAAGGAGAGTGGATATTATCATGGGACACGCAAAACGAAATTGATTTCCACTTATCCGATTCATCACCGAGATTCTTGGGGTTGCTCTGGATTGATGGGAGTGTTGAGATTGGATCGGCGGAGAGTTCCCCTGACGTTGAGGGAGTTTCCTCCTCATTGCGGGATTATAGATGGAGCCCTGCGGGGGAAGGAGTTCTCCCATTAGCATTAGGAATGATACCCTGGAATAGGGTTGTCAAGGTTTCCACTGCCCTCTAAAACATAGCTAAACCCGCCAAAGCTTGCGCCGTATACACGTTGGGATGTTGTGTCCAGTACCTGGCGTTTGGAATTGCGGTGGCCGCGCCGCCGTGCGCCTGGAATTCCCCACGCCTTGGATTTGGTTTCTTAAATCAACTTGCTTGGTGGTGTTGTCATTACGCCTTCGGAAATCGCTGCGTCGTGACCTCGAACCTTCATCCTCGATCACAACTTGGTTGTAGCGATCCCCACCTTGATTACTACCAACACGGTTGTGATTGTTTGATCCAACCATTGTTTCTTGTAGATTCTTCTCTCAATGAAAACACCAAATGATGGAGTTTAATTCAACTATGAGAACTAAATCTACCAAAAGGTATAAGAAACATATGAAAAGTATGAAAGAATATGGCAGCGTAAGGCAGTATACTCTTATTTCGAAGGATCAATCAGCCGTCAAAATCTCGGTCCCTTGGTAGGGTGTTTACAAGAAGTATTTATAGACTTTAGGAGTCATTATTTTAGAAGGAATCTAATACAATAAATGCTAATTAATGAACTATATTCTTGTTCGAAATAGAACTCTTATCTTGCCTTGGACGTCAAGCAATAATTATCTCCTTCCAGTCCACGAATTCCTGTCGTTGTAAGATAGCTAGGTACGAATGATATCCTGCCACGTAAGCCCTAGGAATATCTCGGCCTCACTAGAATTCCGTCCAGGCTTGAGGTTTGCTGTCCAGCCCGACCTGGCTGTGGGTTCCTATCATGGGCATGATTCCTAATTAGGCCCAGCGGCTATTTATCGTCGATCCCGATTGATGGGCTGATCCCGTTGATGGACTTTGCTTTTAATTCAATCTTGGGCCATGGCTGTAATTCATGGTACCATCAATGAGTAAATAAGAAGTATATAATAAGTAGATAATAAGTATATATAAGTAGATAATTCGAAGTATATTAGTATTTAGTAGATATAATAATTGTATAACTAATATATAATAGGCTAAAGGGTCAAATAGGTACATGAACTAACTTAAAGTGTTCAATTAGCCCCTTATATAGGAGGTTCTGCCCGGCCGTCGCCAATTGGGGCGTTTCCTGGTGGAATTTTTTGATGAAATTTTTTGAGCATCTTCTTCATTAAGTCTAGTTTATCCATACCAAATTTCAGCTAAAAATTCAACCGAGAAGGCAGTCAAATGATTTTTTGAAGATAATTGCGCAGGTAAACAATGCAGTACATTTTGAAAAATCATTTGACTGCCTTCCCGGTTGAATTTTTAGCTGAAATTTGATATGAGTAAACTAGACTTAATGAAGAAGATGCTCAAAAATTTTCATCAAAAAATTCCACCGAGAACCGCCCCAATTGGCGACGGCCGGGCAGAACCTCCTATATAAGGGGCTAATTGAACACTTTAAGTTAGTTCATGTACCTATTTGACCCTTTAGCCTATATAATATAATGTTTATACTATATAATATATAAGTATATTTCTATAAGATGAGTAATACTTTAATATATAAAGTATAATACTTTAATATATAAAGTATATATTAAGTAGATGTAGTATGTATGTACTAAGTAGATATTAAGTAGATAATAAGTAGAGATTAAGTAGATAATAAATATAAGCAATATAATATATGTATTTATAAGTAGCTAATTAATATATAAGTAGATATAATAATTGTATAATTATTATATAGTAAAATAGAATGTAGAATAAGATAATTTGAGAAGATGAAGATGCAGAAATGCAGAATTGTGGATGAATAGATGATTAAGAATAATAGAATATTAGAGAGTAGAAAGAGTTGGGGAAGATGTGTAGAAATATGTAGGAAAATAGGAGTATTTATAAGTTTTTTTACCCCCACCCCCACCCTAAAAAGCCCGGACCCCCAACCCCCACCCAACGGCTATATAGCCGTTTGGGACTGTTTGGCAACGGCTAGTGCCTTGTTTTTTTTTTTTTTGTTTAAATAAGACCGTAAGGCCCGAACCGTGCCTGGCCGGGCCCGGATCAAAAGCAAGTTTATCTTTTTTGCACTTTTTAAAACATTCCGTTAGGTACTTTCAAAAAAAAAAACATTCCGTCAGGTGCACTTTTATATACTCCGTATAGCACTAAAATGCCAACGAGTGGATGGATGATATATTCATTTGTCAATGATACTACTTTCCTCATAATCGTATAGCAATAATAGCATTTTACATTTAAAACATTCCTAGAAAATCACAGTTTTTACTTTCCATTGAAATGAAAGAGATAAGCCTTTTCAAAAACCTCAGATGGATTGTTGTCTTGAATGTCTGGATTTTCTTTAAAATTTGCATTCCGACCATGCCTACAAAAAAAGGTTGAATGAAAACAGGGAGTAGATGCATATTAATAGAAGATATCATATCATTTTTTTTGGATGAAAGGTAAGTATATTAAATAGCACCCAAAAATAACATACAAAATGTATCAAAACTATCTAGCTAGCTAAACTAACTAAAATAGTATCAAACTATTCAAACCCCCCACCCAACCCCTAGTGGGAGATGGGTGGAGAGAAAGAGTTTAAAATAAAGCCCAGAAAAAAAAAAATGGCACGGGACAGGCCCTGGCTCGTATCAACAAAACAGTCCAAACCAGTGACAGACCAATAAAGGCCCATGCTGGTAGATAAAACCCAACTCAAAAATTTCGAACTTCCAGGTTATTGGACCAGTAAAGGCCCGTTTCACCCTTCAGATTCAAAGCAGCGAGCTGCCACCAAGTCAGGCCCCGAGAAGCAGTTTGCATCCAGTCAAGTAACCAAATAGGAGGCCCAACAAATCAATCCAGAAACATGCAGCAATAAGTAACCAGAAAAATCGGCCTAGCCCAAGAGACACTCTAGCAGGCTAGGGTTAGCAACAGACCAGCCCGGCACTCTCCCGCCCGTTCATCGCAACACTTCAGCGCCGCAGCACAGATCCAGGCTGTCCCACCAGACCCCCACCCCCACCCCCAACCACCCCATCCAGCTCCGACATCAGCTAAACAGTCTGGTGGCCGGAAAATGGAGGTCAACAAACCCAAGCCGGAGAGGAAATAAGAGCCAAATCTTTAGGTCCCCCCCACACTCCCACCCCCGTCGAGCCCCGGTGACCCCTGGCGGCAATGGCAGACAGCGAGAGAGGGAGATTCAACAATAGCCGGAAACAAGAAACAAAGCCGGCAAGAAAATCCGGTCTTCTTCTCCGACAAACCATCCACAGAACCTCTTCAGACCCCCAATCCCCAAAGTCAGAAATACCAAGATTCGAAATCCAAAAGGAATTAAACTCATCCCAAATCAAAATTATTTTTATCCAAACAAGTTGACTAACAAAGAAGCTTTTACCGGAGTAGGAATCTTCCCGTTTTCAAACGACGAGGTCGTCGGTGGCTGCAAACTCCAATTCCAAAGCTTTGGCCCAGCAAAGGAATCGTAACGAAGCAGTGAGAAGTGGTGGCTGCATGACCGAACTGCACCGGGGACCCCTCACCGGAGCTGCCACTACGAGACGCCACCACCCATGGCAGATGAACTCTACAAGCTCTCAAGTGCAGGGAAGAGAACAAGCAGGCTTCTAAAATCATTCAAGGATATTAAATCAGCCTTTAAGAAGCGTCCCCAACAGTTGTCCTCCGGCCGATTTAACTTCCTCCAACCTTTCTGTCGCCATGTCCGAGGACGTCAGAGCTGCACCACCGGAGGGTTTTCACCCTGGTTGTGAATGAGAAAAGAAGAAAGAGGAGTGTGGTCACAGTGGTCGTCGTTTGAAGCACAAACCGGCAGTTGGAACCACCGGACCTCATCTGGTAGAATCTGCTTTTGACTGAGGATTTGCATGTACCCCTGGGCTCCGGTCAAGGACAACCGACGATGGACTCCAACACCACTGATATAAATGAAAACCCAAAAATCACCCGGAGGGGATGCATCCGGGTCTCTTATCCACCGGCTACTCAGATAGATTTAGGGCCGTGAGAGTACATGCGAACAAAACATCTTCGAACCAATCCAAATATTTAGCCTAAGCCAAGAACCAAGCCAACCGGAGCCAGGAGGGCTCCGGCGGCGCACCACCATGGTCGGTGGCGCCGGACGCCTTAAGGGGGAAGAGAGAGCAACC